AGAGGTGTAAAAAAGGGAAGGGAGAGAAAAAGGAGAAATGGTAAGAGATAAGTGGCTGGATGGGTGTATAGTTTCTATCTATCTCTATCTCTCTCTCTCTCTCTCTCTCTCTCTATCTCTCTCTCTCTCTCTCTCTCGAGTTTAAAAACATTTCCAAAGGTGTTAGTACTGAGCCTTTCATGGTTTTTTTTTGACTTATCTGAACATTAAGTACACTACTCATTCATAGACCCAAGACCATCACATAGCTTCTATAGGTTTTGTTGGATTCTTATCATTGATTCAATTTAGCTATAACCAAACAAAAAACCTTGGTTGTCGACGCATACAAACACATACATACACAAAAACACGTCTTGAGTTTTGTATGTGTATGTGAATGTACCAAACTATTTGTTTGGAAGCGAGGAGACAAAGTTGGGGCTCAAGAACTATATGTCCATTGTTCAATGTTATGTTCTTTTATAACCATTAACCCCCCTTGTTTTGTCTCTTTCTCTGTTTCATTGTTTCAACATTCTTGTTACCGCCCCTCCACCGATTAATAATTTATGCGCCATTGAAACCCGTCAAGCGGGTGATCTTAAGAAAGTGTGTGTGTGGTGAACCAATTAAGCGTAAAGCTTGTTTATAATGCAAAGCTTTTAGGGAGTGATAGTATTGTTAGTTGTTACTATATAAATGAATACAATGCATCTATGGTTTGCATATTAAATGTATGAGTATGAAACACGTGACAACCTTCGAGTGTGTCATTTTCAAGCTTCGAAGATCAAGGAAAAGTCCTTGGGTCACGGGAAATACCATAGTATTGTAGCTAGAATTTTGGAGCTCAAGATTTTGACTTTCCTCCCACCTACATTTGTATATCTACACAAACAATATGTATCTGCGTATATAATGTGACATTCCAAGTGTCCCTTTCGCATTTATCTACATAATCTAGATTATATCTTTATTCTTAGAATGATTTGCAAGATTTTTTTTTTTTTTGACTAGCCTTGTATTGTTATTTTGGACCTTGTTATTTGTTCCTTGATCATTTGTGCATATAAATCCTGTGGAACTCGTTTTCCTTCTGTTTTCCGCAACTTTTTTTCCCAATAATAACGGTGGAGGTTGCTCTTTTTGTATCGAATATATCGAAAGAGGCAATTCATGTCAATGATATATATCCTGTTTTATAGTACAATTATTATTTATTAAATAATGATTATGATTTTGTGTACATCAAAAGTACATAGAGATCACGCATAACTAATAATACTTATATATGTATTATTTTAGAACTCAAAGCTGATCTCGGAGAGCCAGAGAGCTCCTTCGGGATGCGCAAATCATCGCAACCGACAAAAGCCTTCGCAAGATTTTGTCTTTATGCTTTCATTTTTTTAGTTATTATACACATCAAGAATTTATTTATGTTGGGTCACAACATATTTAGTATTATTGTGGATTTTACGTAGAAGTAATGCATATCGTTTAGCAAAAAAGAAAGAATAATGCGTATCGATTATTTCAATATATCTTTTATAGCTATCAGTTAAGTCTTGATACTAAATATATACTTTTCTAATAATAGGTCATTTTCTGATTTTTATAAGTAAGCGATATGATAGCTTACGGATCTGCACTACCTTTGATGAAGATCCATTTCTGGTGTATAGTGCAAAGTTTGATATAATAAATTTCAACTAAAGTAAGATAAATCTGCAACAATATCTTCATCAAAAGAAAAAGTTGCATAATTTGATCGATCTAAAAGGAAAAATCTTCGTTAAAGAACATTTCTTCATGAAGATATTCGCTAAGGGATCAATTGTTCATCGTGTATTAGTGTTATGATGATTGCCTACAAATACTAAGGGTAAAAAGCAAAAGCAAAACATATTTAACGTCTTTTTCTTTGTATGTCAATGGCGTCTTTATAATTTCCACTATATATATAAGTATATATTTGTTTTAAATAAAAAAAATTATCGTGTCAATTTAATATATTTAAAATTTAACTTTCAGACAATAGTATTTGACCTAAAAATAAAATCAAGCAAACAATAATAGTTTTTTGAAAGGTGACTTACGCTTTAAACGTTATGAATATAACTAATATTTTTTTTTTAATTTATAATGTATTGGTCATCGTTTTCCTTCGTTAATTTTATATTTTAAGGTTTTCTCTTCTTCTTTTCGTTTCATGATGGACTACCAAAAAATCCACATACATATTGGGATGATATAAATAGTTCCTTTTTTAAAACATCTCCATATACATCACAATTAGTTTGAAAAACAAGATATATTATAACGATATTTATTTAAGTTACATATGTATATGAATCATTTGTTCGCCACCTTCGAATTTATTTTAATAAAAATTAAATAACTACAGAAAATCTTGTTTTTAATGATATACATTAGGCAAATTAATCATTTTATTTTATTTTGTATCGTTATACGCCTTTTCTCATACATTTTTTTTATCAGGATCTGAGAAATTGGAATAACTGTGTCAAATAGCTGCGTTATGACGTTAAAAACAAAAAAAAAAGACTCTCAATAGCTGCATGCATGTAAGCATGTGTAAATCAAATATAAACGATATACAGTTGATATATAAAAAAGGTCTAATACAATTACATTAGAGTGATGACACACAATGATGGTTACGTTTATCAAAATAGGTATCCAATCAAAGGTGGATCAGTACCACTGACTCATAGTTTGCATCTCGTAGGCCCTACCTCTGTCATCTTTCCTTCTTACATGTGATATCTCTCTTTCCAAATATTATCATTTCTTTCTATTAGTTTTCCTCACTTTAATTTGTTTGTTTAAATAATCCGTTTCTTCTTTTTGTGAATTTGCCAAATGACTGACAATATGGAGAGCTTTTATTTGAAAACCATTGGAAAGTTGCTTAAAGACACTTGTGATTTATACAAATAGCATAATTATGTAAAATAATATAATCATGGTTCAAGTAAAATCTTTAACAAAAGAAACGGTTTAAGTTAACATGTTCTTTGTTAATAACACGTGTAGTTGTGATAAACAATGGTTGTGTTATGTCAAGTTATCAACATTGAATTTTCAGATTCTTAATACGATATTACTAATTATAGGAATAAACGAAAGAGGAATAACTACTATTCCTATTCGATATTCACCTAAAAAATATCCAATTTATCAACTAGGTGGACCTATACTTACGGATATAACTGTGGTCGGAATGGTTGGAATTACTTTAATGTCTTATAAGTTATAAGCATGAACGTAAATAAATTTTGTCATATATTCAATTATTGAAATATCTAACACCACCATAGCACAAACTATTTTTTATCAAAAACTATTCAAATTTTAGATACTATTAGATATATTTCAATAATTGAATATAGGTCAAAATTAGTGTAGTAAACAAAGAGAATTGTATCTCAAATCGTGTGCAAAGATATAGAAAAACAAAAGACAGATATGTGTTGTTTGTTTTTTTTGAACAAACAGAGATGTGTAGCTAACGAAAAAAAAGGAGACATATGTAAACACAAGTATAAACAGCGACACGTTGTTGGTACGTTTGAAGCATGTTGCACAACATGCAAATCCTTTCATCAGTATTCAATAAGGTTAAAATTATGATCCGAGATCCAAGTTAGATACTTGGAGAATCCATATTAGGATCCGGATAGTGTTCTGCGCTCACATATTTATTAATGTGTGTCTTTCCTAGATCAAATAGGAGTATAATGAAAAAAGCTATGGCAGAGATTTAAATGATATAAATTAATTAGTGAATAGATTTTTTATTTTTATTGATAAACCCATTAGTCTGTGCGAGCCTGAGAGGATAGGTGAGCTTTGAGGTGACTTGAAATCTAATTGACATATATATATCTTTGGACATGTGTGTTGTACTGATGATACTGATGCTAATAATTTGGTTTCTTTTATTTTATTTAAACAGTATTTAGTGGATGCTGGCAAAAAAACAGTGCTTACTCGAAAATTAACTAGACTCACACAGCTTCTGATGCTAATCATCAATTTACGTGGTCAGTTAAAATTAATAATTACACATATAATATTAAAAAGGTAATTGTCTAAAATAACACACTTTTAAGTTTTTGTTCCAAACTTAGCATCACTAATCTCCATTTCTGATAATAAATTCAAGTACATATTTTTAATGAGAAAAACTAAAATTTAAATGAAAAATAGAAAAGTCAACCATAATGTTATACTTTTAATTTTAATTTATTTGGCATCATTATATTTTTACTTTAGTATTTGTACTATTTTCTAAATTTTAATTCTAGTGCATGTGCTATGTTTTTTGAAAAAAAACTTAATGTTAATACTATTTTTAGAACAATTTTGTTAAATAATTATAAGCAATTTTTTTACATATAACGAATCATTATCAATTGTCAATGAATGACGAGTCAAAATATGTATTTTAAAGGAAAATTGATAAATAAATAAGTAAAAAGATCATCATAAATGTGAGCAAATAATAAAACTACCGACATTGTCATATGTAACTGCTCACCTGATCATATTTCTAGAATCAACAATGAATATTAACTAAAGTCTCTCTATGTATAAAAGAGAAAAATTTCACTAAAATTAATGTAATGTAAAATATTAATTTCTTTTTTATATTCAAATGTTTTTCGATCACAGATTAAATGATATTTTGTTATATAAATTGATAACAATATAGAAATTTTATAGTACTGTATATTTTCTATTAAAAACAAAATTTGACAAACCAGGAAAATAATAATTCAAAATTATAATTCATCTAAGAAATTTCGAATAATCATTTTTTATGATAAAAAAATATTAACAAAAGTAAAATCTCCCCACTCGCTAACACACTCTCTCTCCCTTATAAATGTTCTGCCAAAGTAATCTCTCCCATTCATTCACCTCCCTGCGTCTCCTCCCCTAATCCCCAAAATACACTTCACACCCAAAAAATCTCTCCTTTTTCTTCCCTTTTCATCGAAGCGTAGACACCGACACAGAGAGATTCGCAGTGGCTATGGCGAAGAAACCGAGAATTGTGATAATCGGAGCTGGAATGGCTGGTCTCACGGCGGCGAACAAGCTCTACACGAGCTCCAGCAACATGTTCGAGCTCTCCGTCGTAGAGGGCGGCTCTAGAATCGGCGGGAGGATCAACACCTCCGAGTTCTCCGCCGAGAAGATTGAGATGGGTGCCACGTGGATCCACGGGATTGGTGGAAGCCCTGTGTATAGAATCGCCAAGGAGACGGGTTCTCTGGTCTCCGACGAGCCATGGGAATGTATGGATTCAACCATTGATAAAGCCAGGACATTCGCGGAAGGAGGGTTCGAGATTGAGCCCTCGATTGTCGAACCCATCTCCGGATTGTTCAATGCTCTCATGGAGTTGGCTCAGGGGAAAGAGATCTCTCAAATCGACGGCGATTCCGGCTACTTGGCTGATATTCACGAAACTGCCACTAGGTTTTGCTCTTCCCGTGATGGTTTCAATGGAAGTAGCGTCGGGTCGTTCCTGAAATCTGGGTTCGATGCTTACTGGGATTCAATCAGCAATGTTGGAGAAAATGGAGTCAAAGGTTATGGAAAATGGAGCAGAAAGTCGCTTGAAGAAGCCATTTTCACGATGCTTAGCAACACACAGAGGACTTACACATCCGCAGATGATCTCTCGACGCTCGATTTCGCGGCGGAGAGTGAGTACCAGATGTTTCCAGGCGAAGAAATCACCATAGCCAAAGGCTATCTCAGCGTTATCCATCATTTGGCCTCTGTTCTCCCTCAAGGTCTTATCCAATTGAATCGAAGGGTCACGAAGATCGAGTGGCAGAGCAACGAAGAAGACGATAGTAATCGTCCTGTGAAGCTGCATTTCTCAGATGGGTCTATAGTTTTTGCAGATCATGTTATTGTCACTGTCTCTTTAGGGGTTCTTAAAGCAGGGATTGAGAGTAATGATGAAGAAGGAGAAGGAGGATTGTTTAATCCTCCCTTGCCTGATTTCAAATCCGACGCCATTAAAAGGCTAGGCTACGGAGTTGTCAACAAGTTGTTTGTAGAAATGTCTCAGAGAGACTTCCCATCTCTGCAACTCGTGTTTGACCGTGAGGATTCTGAGTTTAGGTTTGTCAAAATCCCGTGGTGGATGAGAAGAACTGCGACCATAACCCCAATCCACAGCAATTCAAAGGTCTTGCTTTCTTGGTTTGCAGGCAAAGAAGCTCTCGAGCTTGAGAAACTAACCGATGAGGAGATCATAGACGGTGTCGTGACCACTGTCTCTTGCTTGACAGGCAAGGAAGTGAAGAAAGACACCGCAAAAACTCCAAAGCCCTTGATCAATGGCTCTTTGAATGATGATGAAGTCATGAAAATCAAAAAGGTCTTGAAGAGCAAATGGGGAAGTGATCCTCTGTTTCGCGGTTCGTACTCGTATGTCGCGGTTGGATCAAGCGGGGATGACCTAGACGCCATGGCTGAGCCATTGCCAAAGATTCACAAGAAGGGTGGTCAGGTCAATGGTCATGACCAAGCCAAGGTTCATGAGCTTCAAGTCATGTTTGCAGGGGAAGCAACACATAGAACCCATTATTCCACAACTCATGGTGCTTACTTTAGTGGTTTAAGGGAAGCCAGTAGGCTTCTCAAGCATTACAAATGTGATTTTTGAGTGTTAATTCTAAGAATATGTTTTCCTTTTTTTGGGGGGGCTCACTGTGTTTAGAGAAGCTTAATTAGATATGTAAGATTTTTTTAATTTTTTTTTGTTTTGTTTACTTTCAGTTTGTTTTTTTTTATTCTTCCTGTTTTACTTTTTCTAAATAAGTTTACAACCACATTCCAATCTAAAAAAGCATATTTCCGAATTTCTTCGTCAATGAGTTCCAGGGGACAAAAGGATATTAAAGAAACGAAAAGAAAGTTTTAAAAGAAAGCAAGATACTGTATAAATATATATGATGGAATTACATCTTTGTTTGTTCCTCGCTAGTCACTATAGTACTATTTTTTCTTTTTATTCTTTTAGAATTCAATAAATTCCCTTGTCACAAACTTATTTATTTGTGGGTTTCACTCGTACACATGGTATCATCAAATTATTTGTGGAAAATATTTATAAGAAAAATCGATGAACCAAAATATTATCGCCTTATTTTGGTAATTTACTAAACTATACCTTCCAATTTCATAAAAACCGAAAGAATGAATAATTGGATGACTATGACTTAAATCGAAATTTTATTTTCAATATTAAAGTCAAAGTGATGAGTTACACTATACAGCAAATGCTGCTTTCTTTCAAGAAAATAGGTCGAAATCGGAAGAGGAAAGGAACAAAAGAAAATACTTAGGATGCTCCCCACCTATATATATATACAAACAACCCTAAGAGATTCTTAAGTTTTATTTTGTGTGGTGGCACTTTGATGGACAGGATCCGCCGATCCCGCCTAGTTTCCAGCTTGCAAACCCAGCCATATATGAGCATTTATACATTTTATGTAGCCTCTTTTTTCTTTTTATAGAAAACCTATTTACACATGATGAATTATCAACCATTGTACGCTCATGGACTTGGTTTAATAGTTGAGACTACAGTAAGATTTATGTATAAATTTGAGTGATGGAAGCTATTGTTACATTGCTACTTGTCACGACGACAAGCTCTATAACATAAATCATATATTAAAACATCGAGAGTCTTGTGTCATATGGACAAGTCTTATAATTTACACGAGGCTTAGTACTAACTTTATGCTCACATATACAAAATTATCATATATGCAGGAGTATGCATCATGGTCCTACACTAAGGCATCAACATATATTGAGAAGAAAAAGTAATAAAAATATAGAGAGATGAATGGTCATGATCATCTTCATATTGGTTCCCAAATCAATTGATTTGATTCAACAGTTATGTACAATGTGTAATGAACAAGTGGTAGTGGTAGGGTTTAATTTACCAATTTCTTTCCATATGTATATCTTTAATTTCAATTATTTCATGACTCTTTTAATCTTTTTTTTTTTGTGCAACATGACTCTTCTAATCTCATTTTATTATTTACATTAGAAAAATAATACTACATCAGTTTTTACATTAATACGCTACTGTTTATCAAGTAACTCTTTGATAAATTACTTTAATAAATAAATTTATGTTTGTAAGAATAGAATTAGAATTCCATTTCTATCCTCTATACTGAAAATAAAAAATTAGAATGATTCTTTATAAAACACATTCGATGTTTTAACAAACATAAATATTATCTAAGCAAATAAAATGGGATTGAAGGTTTTTTCTTCTAGTAAAAAACTGTTATGAAATTCAAGAAAACATGAAAAATCTGTTGTAGATTCTGTCTACCAAATCCTAACATTTTTTCTAGGGTCAAACCAAATTCTAACCTACCTATAAGACAGTAAAATAATTCATATACGAAAATATTTTTATTACACAGGAAATTTCAAATCGTGTTTTCCACTCATTAATGTTTTTTATAAAGCATTTCATAGAATTCACATGATCTATTTCTTTGAAGAAATACAGATTTTATTGAGAAACTAATGACTACAACAGTTAACCTGCTCACATAACACATCGAGATCTTGGTTGTGACATGCTGTATCCAATTTAGAAAAAAGATACCAAAATCCCATGTGTTTTATAACAAAATATCAACTACTCAAGTGGGAATTAATTTTAATATTGTACATCTGACATTTCTTCACAAGAAGGGTACATGGTTTGTTGATTTATAATATCACATATTTTATGTTATCTGAAATTTGGATTCGAACACGGTCCCGAAAACTCATAAATAAGATGTTTCTTAACAAAAATTGTTTCGGTAGCTGGCTATTTTAGACCAAAATCAAAACTAAACTAAGAGGTTATATATCACCATCAACTGAACAAGTTTAGAAGACAACGAAAGGAATCTTTAATCTCGACATCAATCAACGAACGAAACAACTTTAATCACTAAAATGCAAACTTTGATTTATTATATAGGAACAGTCAAGTATATTGCCTGTGTGCACATATTATATTTTCCCGACATGGTTGGATATATCTTATAATTTTGTCTTGATGTTTTTTTTTTCATTTGGTTTTCTAGGACTCGGATTTTATTTTAACTAATTTCGAATAGAAAAATATAATAAACTTAACAAAATTTATCCAAAATCACATCTTAATCACATCCAAGGTATAGTCTATTTTGCAACAGTTGCATTCTGGTTTCTACATGAGCTATAATTATGATTATTCCAGATAGTCCATCATATATAATCAATAATTCTCCCTTTCAATCATGTGAGGAAAAAAATAGCACATGATCGAATCAACAAAGATTTGGTGTTTTTGGGGGAAACAAATCTGTATTTTTTGGCAGATACTATGTTTTGATGGCTAGTACTGTATCTTTTTTAAAACGAAATTTTGGTGCTAAAAGCATTTCCAACCATGCACCAAAACACCAAATTTGGTGTTGATTCTTCTCCAAATGTTGCACCAAATTATCATTTTTGTGTTTTGTGAATAGTGTTGCACCAAATCACAACACCAAACATAAAATATTATCTTTTCTATTTACTCATATTATTATTATTGTTTATTAGTTAATTAAATTATATTGATTTTAGGAGTGCATGATCCATTCTTATAATTTAGAATTGAACAAAATTTTGTTATTAATATGTAAATAAATTAAGATTAAAAATTCATAATCAAGTTTAATTAAACATTTCAACATAAAATTACTAGATAATCTATTTTATGAATAATTAGTACTCATCAAAATTATGAAAAATAAAGAAAATTTTAAATTTAATAATATAATAATATAAAATATTGTTTTTAGTGTGAAATTTGGTGTTGTGGTTGGAGATGAAAAAAAAAACACTATTCACTTTTACACCAAATTTTACACTATTCATGATACCAAATTTGGTGCTATGATTGGAGATAGCCTGCTAAGGATAGTCAAAATACATGAGATCTAACCTTATTTGCTCCAAAATTTTTGGATATAATTTAAACAAGGTAATAATATCTGCCAAAATTTTTGGAAAGTCAAATGTTATAGTTATTTATTTACAAGGGAATTTAAAGGTTTTTAATATAGTAAATTTTAAAATTGTATACAGTTGTTATAACTCGTTAAGTTGTAATAAAGATTCGGCAAATCCAGAATTTTTAATCCAAATTATTTTTTATAATAATAATGTTTGATTGGTATTTTTCTGATGTTTTTGTTCCAAAATGTTTATTTTTTGTATGGTCAAATCAAAGAAAGCTATCATTATTCAATTGGACTCCACTCTATTATTGTGAAACAATTTGATTTGCTTTCTATTTCTAAAGAAAACAAGAATGGCCCACTTCCTGTCTTTTTCCAAATTAGTAAAATTAAAATAAATATATAATAAACGTAAATAAATATATTATATAGTGAAAGGCGAATGCTGCACCCTAAGCTATCACACTTTTTTTTTTTGTGAAATCACTTTTTTTCTTTCTTTAGTCTATGAGAACGGAGGTCATCAACCAATTGGCCAATCACAACAGAAGATAAAAACAATATTATCATTTTAAAAAGTGAAGTGAAATGACTCATGTTAATTGCTGGTTAACTAAATATGATAACTTTCTTATTTGTTTTTATAATGTTTTATACAGAAAAAATTACACGATATTTTAGATTGGTCCATAACTACTCCAATAATCTGGAATCAAAACCGAAATCTGCTGATTGGTGACTCTAGATCTCCAACGAAATTACTTAACGTTAACTTCTTTACTGATCAGGAAACTTGAAGGCGATTTGTTAACATTGTTTCTTCCTCACATCACATGCCAGTAATCCTGATAAGTGATAACTATACATTTACCTATTAAACACCAACGTATTCCAAATAACATGATTTTAAATGAGTACTTTATTTCAAAGATTTAGTGTTATCATGTAAAATAACTCTGTCTTAACGTCAAGGTACATAAATGGCCGTTTATCATATATTTCAGCCGTCCTTAATTTATCCAACACACGTATTAACTTCAATTAACCCTTTCTCTCTTAGGTATGAATGAAGACGCTTCAAGGTTCTTCTGTCCATATTGGACGAGCCAAAGTGGTCCATCAAATTATCATTTTGCTCATTTCTCTCTTTTATTCATTCCCTAATGTCTCAAACTTCTCTTATTAACCACCTACATATTTTTAATCGCTTCTGTGTTTAAATAAGAAGTCACTTACATAAAAATATTATTGTATTTGTCACTTAATTTTTATGGTTAAATAATCCATTTATATAAATAACCTGAACACCAATCAATTTGGGAAAGAGGAAAACGAAAGGAATAATTAACGATACTTCACATTCACAAAAAGATTTGCCTGAGCTTTTTGACCAATTTGGTTGCAACATATGAGTTGATGGAATAAAAAAGAATAAATAGTGAAATAGAATAAAAACATAAAATCAAATGAGCTAATTAGTGAAAGAAGATGTTTCACCTAATATGTATTGTTTTCCATCATCACAAAACTACAAATGAAAACATCCGATCATGAGGAATTTATTTCTTTTCTTTTCCAAATATCATGAGGAATATCTAATCATTAGTAATCAACAAAATTGAAAAATCATTTATGTTTTTGAATATTATGATAAAATTGCAATTACAACCCATCAAAGAGTAACTTTTGTGTCTTTGCTATCTGTCGATTTTTTACTGTCTAGCTCTTACTTTTGTTCTAACATAATCATTTTCCGAAGCTGCAATGATTCTCATTTTTATTGCCTTTTTACAATATAATACTAATTTAATATGATAAAACCTATTTAATCATCTAAA